TGAGAATGTGAAGATTCCTACACTGCTGGTGGGAATGTAAATTATACAACCTCTATGGAAAACAGTTTGTTAGCTTGTTGAAAAGATACAGAAACATGTATCTGCTATGTGGTCCAGCCATTCCATCCTTTAGTATATACCCAAGACAAATGAAAGCATATGTCCATAAAAGTTTATACCAACTTTATTCAGAACAGTGGAAACTAGAAACAACCTAAATGTCCATCAGTGGGTGAAAAACAAATTGTGGCATATCCATACAGTGGACTACTACTCAGCAATTAAAAGAACAGACTTCTGGTACACCATTAATGAATCTCAAAATAAATACACTGTGTGAATGAGCCAGACAAAAAGGAATAATACACAGTGTATAATTTCACTTTTATAAAATTCTAAAAATTCCAACAAGTCTGTAATGACAGAAAGCAGCTCAGTAGTTACCTGAGGATAGGAAGTAGCAGCAGGGAGGAGAGGAGGGGTTACGAAGGGGCACATGGAGCTTTGGGGTGTGACAGAGATTTTTATGATTTTGATTGGGGTGATAGTTTCACAGACAAAACTTTAAAATTTACAGTTTACTGCATGTCAACTGTACCTCAAAAAAGGTCTTTAAAAAATAATGAAAAATTATAATTCTAATAATTCCTTTTGAAAGTACTAAAAAGGAAAAAGATTGCGATAAACGTGCATAATAATAAGTCAGAAAAGCCTCCTTTAGGTACTAGTGTAAGCTAAGATTTAAAAGATGTTTAGTAATCAGCCAAGCAAAGACCAGATAGGAAAGAGAATTTAGGGAAGAAATAGCATGTATGAATTGCCCTAAAACCAAAAGAAATGTGACACTTTCAAGGACCAAAAAGGAAAGGAGGAGCAAAGTCAAATCTGCAGACAGCTGATCTTAGAAACCATGCTAGTGCAAGTAAAGTAACTCACTTTATCAATTTAGGATCTTAGAAACATTCTATTTAGATTATTTTAAATTTCTACTGTGTAACTGTATGTTTTAACAATATAAACCCATGTATATAAACTACATATAATAACCTTAGTTTAAAATAAAGAAGACTGTATCAGAAAGGGCGGGGGGGTGAGAATTAAGGAGTACACTTTACTGCAATGTGCACTGGGTGTTGTATGAAGTGCTGAATCACTATATTGTATACGTAAAACTACTATTACACTGTATGTTAACTAACTGTAATTTAAATAAAAACTTAAAAAAAACTTATGGGTAAAAGCATTAAGAAATTAAGAGAAGGAAAGAAAGGAAAGAAGGAAGGAGAAAGAAGATAGACTTCAGGTCAGGGAGTATTCAGTGGAACTTCAGTGCTGACAGTTTCCCTGCTATTAATAAAAAAGATTCCAAATATGTTTCTTTAATAGCACTTAAGAAAACATATTTATATAATTAACCGTGCCCCTTTCTGTTCATAATAGCAAAGAAATTCCTAACAGTGTATCTTCATCTTGCTGTCACCAGAAATAGAATATTCCTATTATAAATATGAGAATTTCAGCATCCACATTTGATGAACCTAAGAGGTTTTTAAAAAAAATCTATATACAGTGGCCACCTGAGTGGCTCAGTCAGTTAAGCATTCAAATCTTGAGTTTGACTCAGGTCATGATCTCACAGTTTGTGAGATCCAGCCCCGTGACAGGCTCTGTACTGATAGTACAGAAATTGCTTGGGATTTTCTCTCTCTCTGTCTCTGTCCCTTCCCTCCCCCATGCACTTTCTTTCTCTCTCAAAATAAACATTTTTTATAAATATATACACATTAAACATATAATAAGATGTAACAGATTTTAGAAAAATATTCAATAAATGTGTTTTAATAATAAATTTACATTTAGAAATTACTCTTGATGAGGTATTTTTCCAATCTCAGAACAGTAATTTAGGTTTTGTTTAGAAATCAGAAGTCATAGGCACCTAAGTCACATTAGTAAGAAAAATGTCCAAGTCTGATCACAAAATATAAATTTATATAAATATAAATCTCAACTATTCTACAGAATAATTCTAAAAAACTAGTTTATAAAAGAGAATGTCATTCATTTAAGTAAAGTTGGCAGCAAAATGTTTTCTAGACTAAGGTTATACTAAACTACTCAAGTAACTATAACTCAAATTAGCATATATCATATCCTTGATTATTATATTTCAAATAGGCACTGTCCTTTCTGATTCTCAGTCCTAAACATTTCAGTCTACCTTTAGTCAAAGATCAGTATTCATTTTGTTTTACCCATGTGAGAAATGGCTTGTAATTCTGAGTGTTTTATTCTTTTCAAATGGAAACAGATAAAAGACTGGAATCAATGCTAAAAGAACTAAAGTAGCACTTTTAATACCATATTTGCTTCTGCATTCCCTCACCACCACCACCACCATTAATCTTCCATTCTAAAGAACCATTTGAGGAATACTCTTATTCTCGGTGAAATCCCTACAGTAGAAAAAAGAAACTAAGTTACCATGGAACCAGCCAATTAATTTTGACACCTGCTTCCCAAGATTGATCATTTCTGATATCTGTTTGCTAGGTTGCTATCCTTCAGTTTAGTAAAGGATTTTCAAGATAATTAATGAAGTGAGAATTTCCAGTTAAAGTCTTTCCCACTACATTATTACTCCAAATGCTGAATAAAATCAGCCACCAACTTCAAATAAACCTTCCTTAGCTTAGCATATACTCTACCAGGAAGAATTCTTATCTTCTAAATTGATTCTTCCCTTTAACATTAACCCACGCTTTACCCCCTAAGCATATACATAAAACACAGAGTAGTGCCAGTTGTATTTATCTAACTAATAGCTTGTATTCCACAGAAAAATCAAAAAGTACTTACCAATACGGTACAATGAACCATAGGAAACAACAGTTTCCAAAGAAATTATTTATATTCAGTGATTAGTTCAGGATTTGCTAGTTAACTATATTTAAACAGCTATTCTGTGCTCACTACAACATATTATGTTTATGAACATCATCTCCCTATGTTATTTAAGCTAGTTTAACTTGATCTGTGACCTTGCCTACTAACTGGGACAATATCTGCTAGTAAGGTTACAGGCTGCTGATTTAGCTGATTAACAAGTTCCACTACTATAAATTGTGTATAGGAGCACTAAGGACTATAGCAATCTTTGTCCTCTTTAGATAAATGGAGCAAATCCACCCACACAAAGGCCAAAATCCCTAAATCACATATGAACCAAGCAATCTTCCTATCTATTAATAGAAAGATGTAAAAATTGATGCAGCTTTTTTCATTTTTTGCTGCCAGTTTATATGTTCAAAATTCTTGGCTGGTAAAAAGGCTGGCTGAAATTGTCATAGCCAAAGTTTAAAAACACTTAAGGAAAAAACAAAGGCTACAAACCAGCACAAACCAGATGTCAATAAGACATCTTTCCTCATCTTGCAACACTTTTTAAAACCTTTAACAATACCTCTTTCAAATTACAAATAAGTACCAAAAACTATACTATTATACTAATTTGTGAAAGTATGAAGTGAGATCTTGCTCCAAATGAATGTTATAAAGCTTCATTTTGAGATTTCACTTCCAAAAGCCTGTTGTATATGTGAATAGTAGGATTTACCTAAAGCAGTGTCCTTTAAAAAAAAATAGTTTTACAATGAGCTTTAAGGAGCATTGTTTTAACTAACAACAGTTTAAAAAAAAAAAAAGAAAATATACTGTATTTAAAACTTCCAGGATATTTTCCAAATAAAACAAAAAAATGGAACTCCCAGGACATTTTCCTATAACTTATTAATAAGGTGAACAATATTCCTACCTCTGCCTTAGAGACGGAGACATTTCACTTAGATTCTGCTATCATCCTGACAATAAATATCAGAAATCTACACAGTGTTATTTCAGAGCCACAAAACAGCCAGCAAGCTTCACAGTAACCATCCAGAAGTCTAAGAAGTTGCCTTACTTAATAAAGGCTGTTACCTGCAGATTGGCGGGTGGCTACCCTAATGGCCTCAAGCATCTCCCCCACATTCACCCATGTCTTTTCCTATCAAGCAGAAACGTGAGAATTATCAACCAATAAGGAAAAAGTACCTTTACTATTGTAAAGCAAACTCCTTGGGGCCTTGCACTTCGGAAAAAAAACAGTGATGCTCTCACACAACAGCTGATAGTGAAACAATTCTAAAAATCCATTATCTTCACCACATTAAAAGGTCCAGATAGTTCATCAGTTTATGTAACCCAGAGTCACTTCTGTATTCTCAATTAAAACTGTCCTAACAAATTCAACATAGTATATTGGCTACAAGTGAACAATCTAGAGTTAAACTGATTTGGTATCACAACTCGGCCCTTACTACTGTGCAATCTTGGGCAAAGTACTTAAATCCGTTGCCTCCAGTTCTCTCTGTAAATCCAGCATAATAATGCTAGTAACTCACAGAGTTGTGAGGAACAAATGAGATAATCCACGTCAGGCGCCCAAGTGTTTGGCACAGACTAGCCCCATCATAAACTCTTTATTGCTAAATAAACTAAAATGTTATCACTGGTTACCGAGAGAGAGAGAGAGAGAGAGAGAGAGAGAGAGAGAGAGAGAAGGATGGGAGTAGAGGGAGGTACTTTTAACCCTTACACTTGTGTATTGTTTGAACATCTTGTAATGTCCCAGTATTTCAGGAGTTACTTGCATCATTTTTTATTAAAAAATAGGGACCTAACAAAATGATGTTTGGCACCTGAGTACGGAAACGCTGATGAGCAGGGGACCAGGAGTCGCTGCGGGCGTCAGGACCACGGCAAGGGCTTCCAGTGCCCGGCGGTCGGGGCCTGGCGCCCCGGGGCTCCCGGGCTGCAGCGGGCGGCGCGTGCCGCGCGGGTGGCTCCGAGCCCGGGGACCCCACGCCGCGTGAGAGCAGGGGGAGGGGGGCGAAGGACGGGGAGGGGGCGCGACGCGTGCGGGGCAGGGCGGAGGGGAGGGGGGCGGCGAAGGCACTTACTTGAACCTGCCCTGGCAGTGCTGGCACTGGTCCCCCACCCAGCCCGGGTCGCAGAGGCAGGTGGAGTTGACACAGCGGCCGGAGAAGCAGGAGCCGGTCCTCTCGCACGGCTTGGACTGGGACACCTGCGCGTAGAGGGCCAGGTACAGGAAGCCATAGCACAGCAGCCAGCTGTTCCCGTCCAGCAGCCAGAAGGAGGCGCCGCCGCCGCCGCCGCCCGCTGGCCGAGCCCTCCACAGCCCCGGGGCCGCCGGCTGCGGGGGGCCACTGCGGGCCCGGCCCCCCGGCTCCATCTTCCCCGGGGCCGCTGCCCGGCGGGGCTGCGCTCGCGGGCGCGGACAGCGATGCTCCAGGAGGGGAAATCCGGCCGGAGAAAACCGCGCCGCCGCCGCCGCCGCCGCCGCCGCCGCCGCCGCCGCTTCTCCTCCTCCCCTCACCGGCGCCGGCCCCAGTCCGGCTCCCCGGTCAGGAGGGACAGAGCCCAGTCGCCGTCGCCTCCGCTCGGCTCCCTCCACTCGCACTCGAGCATCGCCTCACGGTCTCCTGACCTTGTCCCCGGCGAGCCGAGCCCGCTGCCGCGGCACCGCGGGCCGGGCCGAAGGCAGAGCGCGGGCGGCGCGGGCGGAGAGCGGCGCTCTAGAGGGGACCTGCGGGAGGGGGAGGGGGAGGGGAGGGGGAGGGGACCCCGCGCGCGGCCCCGCCTCCCCCGCGCCGCGCGCCAACTGCCGCGGCTCCAGCCCCGCGCGCCGGGTAGGGCGGGGGCCCGCGGGAGCCCCGAGGTGGGCGCGCCCAACGCGGGAGGGGGATTCGGGAAGCGGGGCTCAGCCCCGCACCGCCCGGCCGGCGGCCGGCGGCCCCCCAGCAGCCATCCTTTCTCCCGTGCCGTCAGCCGGCCACCGGGGCTGCGGCCGAAGCCCGCGGTGCGTTGGGCCGCCTGCCCCTGCTGGCGCGTGCCCACGCTGCCCCCCCCCCCAACAGGCCGCGAGACGTGGTCTCGCCCCGCCCGACAGGGACCCGGGACTCCCCTGCGCGCGCCCGCCCGGCCCGGCCCGCGAGCTGCGGGGAGGCTGGCCCCCCAGGTGCGGCCCGCGTGCCCGCGGTGCCGTCCCCCCGGCCCGCGCGGGGGACCCCGGCCCTACGCGCTGCAAGCACGCCCGGAGCCCCACGGACGACACCGCAGACCGGCCGGCTTCGCGGCTTCAGCGAAAAGCAGCCCTGCCCGTGGGCCGACTAGGGCTGCAAAAGTGCAGCGCTCTCCCCGCCGCGCTTCCCCTTCCTCCGCCCCATCCTCCTGACGGTTTCTTCTTTTTTTCTTAGAAAAACTCCAACAACACACAAAGAGCTGAGCATGTGCAGCAGGCAAAAGTCTTAAAGGCACCGCGGTCCCACGCGCTGTGGGGTCCGCGAGAACAGGGAGGGGCGGGGGTTGGGGGCCGGCGAGGGTCGCGGAGCCGCTACCGCGCGGAGGGACTTCTCCGAGGGGGAGCCATTTCTTCCACGGAAACGACGACTCCCCCGCCCCCAACAAAGAGCTGGGAGGTTCGGAGCCCTGGGCACGCCACCCCTTCCCGGGGCTGCCTCGGAACCCCAGGTACCTCCTTTTCTTCTTGTCAGTGTTTCCTCCTCCAGCTGGGACAATACTCTGCCTTGAAAAATACTGCAACACAGGGGCTTCCCCCCCCCCCCCCCTTAAGAGCAGAGATGATGCCCAGAAAGATGGCCTTTCTCAGCGACTGTCTTTTCCTCCTTTAGGTGACTTTCCAAGATTTGATAGCATATGCTGAAATTTTTGCTCTGTACTTTCGTGCCTTCTCTAAGAAGCGTATTTCAACCCATGAGAAAGGAAGCAGAACACAAAATTGCAGCCATGTATACTCGAGTTACAAGCAATGTAACTGGATCCCCACCGAAGAAGAGCAGACAGTATGAGAAAGAATTTGAAATCTACAAAAGGCATTTCTGACAGCAAAAGGAGAAAAAGTTTTAGTTGGAACCACACAGACATATTATTGTTAAAATTCAACTCCTGTTTATTTAGGGCATAATGTACCCACATCATCTCTTTTAATCTGTTTTATCCCCGCTTTGCAGAGAAAATCTTCCATTAACCCCATTTTGCAGATGAGGATAGAGAGACTCAGAAAGGTGGAAAGATTTGTCAATGGCAGGTTGGGGGTAAGTAACGAATCAAGCTTTAAATGAAAGGCCTCTGATTTCCATCAGTCCTGTCTTTTATCCACTAGTTACCAGGATATTTCTATTAGTAAATGCTTTGTTCTGCTTTGGTGAATAAAATGTAAGTGTTGGCTTGGTTTGCAAATATCTCAGCAGTGACTTAAGAAGGGAAAACAAAGGTCCAGAAAGAGGTGGCTCTTTCTAAGGGAAAAAGGAAAAAATGAAAACCATGACTTTCATTAATACAACAGACAAATCACAATCCTCCCATAATATCACTACTAGAAATGTCATCTCAAACCTGAAAATGAGGACAGCACCTTCTTCCTTTCACATCTTTTGTATATCAGGATGCTTCTTAGAGACTACTTGAGATGAAAGAAGAAGGGGAGGAGAATGTTCTAAAAAATAAAATAATTGAAAGGAGGATATTGTTCTGGAACACACCTTTTAATTTCCATGATTGTAAAATCCAGAACTCTTTCTCACAGTGGCCAGACAATAACAATCCCTGCTGCCTTCTCCATTCTTCTCATTCTTCTCATGCTGGCCAAAGTTTAAAGGGAGCCACATCTTTCTCACATCTAATGTAGAGTACCTTTCAGAAATGGTGGAAGGTGGCCAACCTCTCAAAACAGTCAGTGAGTGCGAAGGTAGTTGAAAAGGTACACTGGAGCCCCTTTAACAAGAGAGATCACTGCTCAGCCACATACCGACTGTAGCCTATATTCAAGCAAAGGATTTGCCCATTAAAAATATGTATCTCTTAATCTCATAACCACTGTAATCATCTCAGTACTTCATGTTACACTGAAGAACCTGCAGCCCACAGGCTTCCTCTCAAGTTTCCCTTTAGCATCAAGCTGAATATACGAAATCTATAAAATGACTGTCACAGGGATCTCACAAGATCACCCCTTGCCCTATATCCTGTTGTTTTCCTTCCATACTCTTTTAGTCAACATTTACTGAGTAACTATTATGAATGTAAGGAAGAGAAAACAAAGATGAATAAAGCATGAGGTCTACCCCTGCATAAGCTTATCTATTATCTATTAGGCTCAGTAGATTAGCAGTTCCTTATGCAGTCGAGGGTCACATATTTAACAAATAACAGACACAGAATACTTAAATGATTTACAACAGTCCCACAAAAAAGTCAGTGATAAAGCTTGCCTAGAATCTAGACTAATGTTTCAGTGTCTTCTGTGATCAAGAAATTTTAAAATTCCAACATGATGTTACATCTTCTTTCTAAGAGAGTAGAGTCAGCATCCTAGTAGTGCCATCCGACACTATAATAATTCATGATATTGGTAATAGTAGTCATAAATCCAGCAGAAAGGTGAAAATTTACTCCACAGAGGTAGTGGAGGGAAAATCAGTTTCACTGAAGTAGGATGGAACTGTTCAGATTGGAATTATCTATTACAATTTCTCCAAGGGGAAAGATAAAAATATATATATTTGTTTTCTCCACAATTAACCTTATGTCAGGACCTTTAGATATTTGGGGAATGTGTGCCATTTCCATTTATACCACTTAATGATGGTACTATAAGGTGATGGGCAAAAAGCTAAGACTTCACACTGCCAAACTGAAAGAAATTCAAATGATTTTTTAAGAACAAGAGAAATGACAGTGCCACTGATCTTTTTATTGCAGCCCAAAAAGTAAAAGATCCTATTTGGACTACTGAACCAAAAAGCAGCCCCTTCTCAGTTGCTTGACTCAAGAATGATCTCTGTTGTTCACCATTTGGCTCATAGGAGGCTTCAAAGGCAGCCAAGAATGAGAGCTGCATCAGGAGAGCCTAGTCACAAGAGCCAGAAGTGCATTTGTTCAAAGGGATCCTTAGTATAATTGGGACAGTATTTTTAAGCCGCTGATAGTGCATGCATGGTCTGTGGCACTAGACAGTAAAGCAAAAATCAACTTTAGGTACTTATTAAAAAACTATTGATGGTATTAATAATATTTATGTGGCTAGGTGCTGAAACACCACCCTTCTCCCTACAGAAATCTAACACTCTGCTTTTTTTCTTGGATTCTGTCAGTTTCTTTTGCTGTCATACTTGCAAACACACACAGACACACTGATCCTGCCAATTTTTTCTGCTTAACACATTTCAAACATATTGTTATAAGTAAATCCAAGGAAATAATTCCAAAGATCTAAATTCACAATGCTGGGCTAATACATTTTTTTAAACTAGGAAATAAAATGAACAGACTCCAACTTTCATCCTAAATACTCGGACTTATTACCCCCAAAAAAGTTTAATGGCCAGCAGTCAGGTGCACAAATTTGTCTTTCATGAAATTTAATTCGATAAAAATACGGCCTAGGACTTCCTGATAAACAGAGTAGACTAAGCATGTGCACTTATCTCTGCTCCAGACTCTACCAACCTGACAGGGAAAAAAGGTTTTTTTAAGAATTTTAAAGATATAAACTCACAATAGCAAAGAAAATGAGAAAAGAAACAATTAGTTTAGGTGTTAATGCATTTGGAAATGTCATGCGTTGGAAAGAGGAAAGGGAATGAAGAAGTGATAACTATAACATTTCTACCTACTGAAATGAATAACAATAAAAAAAAATAAGCCTGGAGAGTCCAGGACTCAGAGACAAGAAGTACTATGTAAGGTCAAGGTTGGGCTCAAGGATGAAAACAGGAGAATAGTTGAGGGTAATATGAGGACCCATGGCCCCTTCCTCACCTCAAGCTGCCACAGAGGATCCCAGACTCAACCCTGACAGGAAGTTAAATCTCTTAAGAATTTGAATCTCAGAGGATCCGGATTTAGAGCAACAGCCATAACGGAAGGTGAGAATGAGATATACAGCTGAAAATGGAGAAATTAAGTGAAAATCTGTACAATGAATAGTAGATTTCCCTACTACGTTTTCGTACCTGTTCCCAGAACAACTGAATAGCTCCCAGGCAGAAAACTGAAAGACATCTATCTGCAAAAATCGAATAGTCCAAGAGAACATATGCTCTCATTTGGGATCTCTAAACCCAAAGGTGAGCCAACCTCCAGCTCACTCTGCAGTGAAGCCTGCTAGTCAGTAAGCCTCACCCAGTCATTTTTTTTCATGGTTCTCTCTTAAGTACAGACGGTAAGAATTCATTAGACATAAAAGATAGAAACTGAAACATACAGAAAAGGAAATTAAAGGAAACAGAGTCAAATGATAAGGGAAGATGTA